ACAAGAAGTCGAAAATATCACTTTTTACCAAAAATGACAAAAATATTCACCAAAATTAGAGAATTGAAGATATCAACATAAAATGAACAAACCTAAGAGAGGTCTACCCAAGGTACATGTACACCAAGTATCAAAGCTTCAGGCTTGTACATGTAGTTTTCAAGAAGAAGTCGAAAAAGTAAAACATTGACACGGACGACGACGACTGACGACGACGGACAATCACTCATATGATAAGCTCCGCTCGACAAAGTCGACAGCGGAGCTAAAAAGTAAAAAGTTGACACGAACAATGCAGGACGCCGATGGACAATCACTCATATGATAAGCTCCGCTCGTCAAAGTCAACAGCGGAGCTAAAAGCTCTGGAAAAATTTGATGAAGATAAGTGGAGAAAAAACATAGCAAACAAATCAAGTCTGATCCACTACATGAAACTTAAAACTGGGATCAAGCATTGTGAAAAATATTTAAAATCAGTTGAAAATTATAAAGGTGCCCAGCTTAAATTCAAAGCAAGGTCATACACTCTAGGCCTTGTGTATGAGAAAAGAAAGTGGGCAAATGTCAATAGTGATTGTACATGTCCATGCTGCAAGAAAGGTGATGAAACTCTAGAACACTTTGTGAATGTGAAAGCTACAAAGTACATAGGAATAATATGATGGAAAATATTAGTCATATCCTATGTAAAAATGGTGAAGCAAATCTTTACGAAGATATTACAAAGGAAAAAGCTGTATTACGTTTTCTTTTAGTGATAGCACTCAGCATTACAATTATGAGATATCTGAAGAAATTAATAGAGTTGTGAAAAGATTTCTTATTGATGCCGTGGATTATAGAAAAGATTATGTAGATTAGATTTATTTCCTGTATTTACTTTAAGTTTAAAAGTTTAATTTTTCGTACTTCCTTTAAGTTTTAAATTGTCTGCTTCTTTTTTCTTTATATAGTATGTGCTTTTTCAAATAATTTTATTGCAGCTCCTAATTACTTATTAGTGCACCCCTGATGTGAAAGGGTAGCAACAAATAAATAAATAGATGACAATGTTTATGTTTGCACTGAAAATAATTTGCGGGAATATTGCAAAAGTGAAACATTATAATTGGTACATGTACATGTATTTTACAGTTTTGAATAACAAATTTGGAAACGGTTCTGTTCAATGTTTAATTAATGCTTAAATCGGAGGCATCATCACCTGCACACGCGGAATTGACGTATGCTAAAATTGCAAAGGCTCATGGGTAGATGCTTGTTTGCAAACGACACGTTATGACCATTTACCACATGTGCAGGTGATGACTTCACTACTTTAATATAAAAACATAGTTAAACCATTAAAGCTTTATGCTTGATGCAGTTTAAAATAACCATCAGATTGGTTAGTGATATTGTTCATCTTCAATAAATGTCTTTCAACTAATGTGAAAATCAATCAAAATTTAAAAAACATCGATCCATTTGAATTAGTTCAAACTATATCCTAACTGTGCATTTTAGTGTCACACCAATATTTTATAAAACAATACCTGGAAATAAAAAGACATTTTGCATTAATGGTTAAAAATTTGTTGTACAAAAATGAAATCAGTTGCAGTATAAGGTGAAATTACCCCCACTCCAGAGATCTTGGCTCAAAGAGGGACCTCACAACTACAGCTTTCATAACAGAACCCATCCCAGGATGAGGTAACAATGAAATATGTACACATGCATGTACATCAACAACAGCAGCACCACTTACAAAAGGAAAAAAGCTTAGGAAGAACTCATGTGCTTAGAGCATTGGAGACATAGGAAAAATTAATTCAAAATTTAAGATTAGTCTTTCAACAAGAAGCTTAGCAACTAAAATTTGTCTGCTATTTGAGATACACAACTTAAAAACAATATGATGCACATTATTGAAGTTACAGAAAAACTTACAGAAAATAAATTTGATTTTTACACATAGTTTTCAGTCTGATTTATTCCAGAGCACCTCTCCAACAACTTCAATTTGAATCTGTTTTTTCGAGATATCAGAAATTGGCTAATAGTAATTAAATAATCAATATGCATGTTTTTTCTACATTAAATTAATCACGTCTGTGGATTATCACAAGAGCATCTTTGAGCCTAATTTCAATGAAATGTGATGATTATGCAAATTAGCTAATTAGTATGCTCAAATTTCAATCTTAATGTAGTCAGTTCTTATTGAAATGCAATAATAGGATTTTGAGATATAGGTGTAAAATTGGTTAATTATTGTGCAATTAAGCAATTAGTATGTACAGATTTCAACCGCAAACTAATTAGCTGTATTGTTCTAGGGTACATATGTACATGTACCAAGTTTCATTATAATTAATGATTAATTCTAAAAACAAGCTTGAATAATCAAGCAAATTAGATAATAAGTATGCATGGATAGTGACCCAAAACCTATCTGGTCTATGGATTAGTTCAAAGCATCTATGTACCAAGTTTCCTCAAAATCCAATGAGTGGTTCTTTAGACATCAGTGGAACAGTCACAGAACAGCTAAAATTAGATAATTATCCTGCAAAATAGGTAATTAATATGCATGGATTTAAACCAAAAAGAGCATCTATGCATCAAATTTTATCAAAAGCAACATATGTTCTTGAGATATCAGTGGAACAGATACACACATACACACACTAACAGCTAAGACTCAAAAAAAAGACAAATTTCCATTTCACATTTTATAATTTATTGTAAAAAAAGAATGTGAAGCAGATTCAGCTGCATAAATGTAAAACAAATTATTAGAAATTATAATTTATCAAGAATAAGATTGAATATGCAAACAAAATTTCCATTATGAAATGCACCCATTAAAAAGTAATCTTTGTGGCTTTAAAAAGAACAACTTGTTTTACCAAATTAGAATTGTTTTTCATACCAGCATAGAAATAAAGTGTAAACTGTACCTCATTACAATACGGGCTGTAAACTGTTGTACCTCATTAGTATGCAATCTGTAAACCGTTGTACCTCATTACTATGCAAGCTGTTCTTTTGTATATTATTACTATGCAAGCTGTAAACTGTTGCACCTCATTAGTATGCAAGCCCTAAACTGTTGTACCTAATTACTATGCAAGCTGTAAACTGTTGTACCATCATTAGTATGCAAGCCCTAAACTGTTGTACCAATTACTATGCAAGATGTAAACAGTTGCACCTCATTAGTATGCAAGCCCTAAACGGTTGTACCTAATTACTATGCAAGATGTAAACTGTTGCACCTCATTAGTATGCAAGTCATAAACTGTTGTACCTCTTTACTATGTAAACTGTTGTACCTCTTTACTATGTAAACTGTTGTATATTATTACTATGCAAGCCGACTAAAACTGTGGGTATATATATCTGTAAAGCCACACTATTGAGTGAGTGTGTTGGACTTGTACCACAAAACCAGTATTGAATCTGGGAATGGGAAGTACTTATTTTATATGAACAATAATCTTAATCCCAATACTCCACACCCAAAAAGAACATAAAAAATAATATACAACATCAAAAAACTTTCATCCCTGGGTTCATGACTTGTGAATTGGGTATAAGGCAAATAAATACTGACAATTCTGTACTCATAAAGATTAAAAATAGATATGTTGTGACCCAAACTTAAAACATCAATACCCACCAAAATAATAACAATGTGCACTTATTTATAGTAAATGAACAACAGTGTAAAAAAAAAAATATCCAAATATATCTTAGTATTGAAATGGCATGGCATAAATACTCATAAAAGTATAAAAACAGCCCCTTTATTATTGTTTTAAATTGTTTTGAAATGTAGCCATTAAAGATGAAGATGTTATTTCAATAGCTCAGTATTTTTAATGTTACCATATTCGCTTCATTATGAGTCCATCTCTAATAATACCAACCAACCAACCAACAAAAGTTAAATGTTATGTTTACTGCTTTACATGGGTGCATATCCTGACAATAGCGCAAATATAATAAGGTTATATTTGTGATATATATATAGTGTATATATCTACAATTTTGTCACAGTGACATTTTCACTGAGGTCTTTACGACAGGGATTCACAGCGACATTTTTAGGAGGTCCTTACAAATTTTAGTTTCAGCAAACAGGGTTTAAATTATGCTAGTATTGTTTGTGTAAAACAAAATGACATTGTAATCATCAATTTCTATGTGTAGACCTTGTCCTTGGAAATGACTGGTGAACTAAAAATGGTTCTCTTGAATAATGTAATAGCAGTTATCACGAAAGATATGTTTTTAAAATTTCTTCATATTGGTATGAATTAGAGAGTGATAATTGTCTCTCCAGGGACTATTTGTGAGCAAATTGGAGTGATCAATCTGACCACAAGACATGCTCTACATAGTGTATCAAATGAATTCTATCTATCTTATCAATATGGTGCATTTTAAAAACAGTGTGAAATAGAAAAATGATTTATAATCTTCGGTAAACTGCTGGATTCTAGACACATAAATGACTAAATGGATGGGCAAAGTGTAAAACTGAATTCCATCTGTCTATACAGTATTATAGTAATCAAAAATTCCTCTTGAAATATGATTACTAATTATCTCAAAGCCTAAAAAAAATGAATTTAATTGGCTTAATTTGCAATTAGTAGTGTGAGTAATTGTAATCACTAATGGTGATGAATTAAAACTTTATAAAAATCTCTACTAAAGTTAATTACTATAATAGAGAGATATATCTCAGTCTGAATTAAATAGATTGTAATACAACAATCATTTGGTCTGGTTTGCTGCCAGGATTCCACAAACACAGCATACAGTAAATCATTTACACTGTAAATAGTCTAATTGTCGTTATGTTAAGAAACAACTGTCTCTTCTGAAGATTAGTAAAAAAAACAGGCACAACTCCAAATGTTTTTTTATGAAAGCAGAAAAACAGGTATGAACACATCCACTGATTATAATACTGTTTTTTTGTCAGAGATTTGAACAACCATCTAGCCTTGTGATGATGCATTTGGACGACTAATGGAGGTATTGGTAGTCATGGTAGTGATTTCCCACCTGCAATGAGAACAAAAATTAAACACAAAAAACAGACGCAAATATAATCACAGAAAGTTTAGAAAGAACTCCCGTGTGCTGAGAGTATTGAAGACACATTAAAAATAAATTCAAAATTACTTGTACATAAGATATTGATGGAAAAGCTGAAAACTAATTATGTAAATCAGGTAACTAAGATGAACAGAACAGAACAAAAAAATTATGAATTATTATGCTAATTAGAGAATTAATATGAACAAATTTTAACCCAAAATTAATCAGGCCTGTATATTGTCCTAGAGCATTCATGTACCAAATTTTATTCAAATGTGATGATCAGTAATTGAGATATCAGTGTTAATTAATTATGTTAATTAGGTGTTTAATAAGCATAAATATTTACCAAAAACTAATTGGGTTTCTGCATAAGTTCTCTTTAAAAGTTTCATTAAAATCCAATTTGTGGTTTTTTATATATCAGTGGAACATTATGCAAATTAGTAATTAATATCCAGGTCTAATCAGGTCTCTACATAATCCTAAGAAGATCTACGTAGCAAGTCT